CATATGGAAGGAATCTGTTCCAGACTGCATTTGTCTTTTGCCGAAGCTCAGACTCTGGTACAGGATCGGGGACGTTGGAAGCTCTGTCTGACGCGTCTGCCTCCGGAACTCGAAAGGAGAAGCGGCGATGGAAGACGAAGAAGAAGATGATGATGATAGTTGCTGGGGCAAGGGTCATATTCTACTTTGCAAGCAAGCTCGCCTCGAGCAGCTGCTCGTCGATGTGATTCGTATGATGCGTCTGCGACCGCTTTTGTTTCCCAAATGAGTATGGATTTGGATAGGTCTTCATTCTCTTTCCACCAAACCATAACGGCGTCGGTCCATGATTTCTTCGGACAAAATCCTCAGGCCGGTCATCTCGAGGATCTTTCCATTCTTCATCCGATGGAGCCGTCGTACTTTCAGAATGTTCCGCAGGAACGTTGTTAAAAAGTGTCCATCTTTCTGAATGGTTCATGTTTCAAGGCTGTACATCAAGTCTAAGAAGATGGCGGCTTTCAGTAAGATCAGTCTTCGTTGCTGTCCGGATGGATTGATCCTGTCGAACTACGAAATGTTTTCTGGCGTTCACAGGTGCCAGGCCTAAACGTCACTCTGATTCCATGTCGCAGCCTCCATTTCTTGTCATTATAGAGCCGACGTACTTGTAGCTTTCGACATCCTTGGTGGTTGTTCCAGTCCATCCAATCTTTTGGTGTTGGTTGAACTGGGTGCTCTATGAGCTTCATTGTAGAGGAAGGTCGGTAGATGATATATGCACTCTAAATATTGCAGGTTGAAAAAGTTTCGACACCGAAACCAACGATTTATTAACTGCTTTGACCACCTGCAATCGAACGGAAATTATGGCAGTATTGCAGAGCATGAGATCTACCACAAATGATCTATGTACCTCCGTGCAATTGAAGATCGAGTGTGTATGCCGGTTTCACGTATTATCCAATCGGATGTACATGTAATCGTGAAGAGAGCACGAATTATGCGCCGTCTGCGAAAACGACCGGAAGTTAATATGTAGCAGAGGAGGAAGTTTTATGTTTGCCGGCCGCATCTACCACCGGTTTGTTACCACTAACTGGTTCATGAAAAGAAAAAGCAGAATGAAGCAGTATGAAATGGTCAGTCAGCCTTGTACATAGAAATTGTTTGGCTGATCCAAAATCATTTAGATCATAATCTGAGGGTGTAAGCTATTTTGCCAAAAGATAATACATTGAAACTACCTCTGACCCGCAGGCGGCTGTCTCGACGCACTAGATCTCCATCGTTGAGCCGATGTTACGTATGTACGGTTTTCAGTGGACGATCTGAATAGCTACATCGAGGTATGAGACAAGATGGTCTAAAACAAATTTACCCTTACAATAGACAGTAGGCCATCCAGCTGCAGCTGTCGCGACTTACTGAAATTCCAACTGTTCAGGGTGTTTTTCCACAAGACGCTGTTCCAGAACTTGTCCTTCAAAAAAAATTTGTACATCGGCGTTTCCATTAGACTGTCTAGCAAGTAGGTTGTTTGCTTGCTCGCCTGTCGTTCGGTCTGGCAGTTCCTTGCTTTTTTGCCCTCCAATCGGTCATTGAGGTCATTTGTTCAGTGAGTAGGCGACATTATACACCACTCCGGATGTTGTCTTCGATCTGATGCAATATTCCTGGTTTAACAGGTGCTTAATATTGCCCAGTGTCTTTCCAAAAAAATATTTGTAGAATTTGCATGAAGTAAATGTATTTAGGCGTTTGACATATGTGCTGCGATGGATGGCTATGAATCTCGTGGAAGGACATGAATACCAATAACAGAAATGACGAGTGACTGATTTCGAAATTAACGTAATCACCAATGCTCAGATTCGATGACCATGCTCGACTGTGTCCTGCGATTTGTAGCCAGAAACATCTATATCTCTCCTTATGCTCATTGTCACTTCTGAGCTGAAACTTACCAATTGGCGTTTTCAGCCCCTTGGATACCAATCTGCCACCGTTGAAGACCATCGATCATCCGATGTGGTCAGCCCATCGTCATTTTCTTTCTTTTAAAACTGAAACAGTGTCCTTTTGTCGATTTCACAACCTTCTCCTAATGAAAATTCTCAGCATCCTTCTTTCCATAGCGCGCCGATGCACTCACAAAAATGCTTCACCATTTTTCGCTGATGTCAAGGTCTCTCAATCATAGAGACCAGATATCGAATGTATGCTTTTATACAGTACGGTTCTAACTATTGATAACTCCTATTTTCAAAAACGCAAGTTTTTCTTCTGTGTGTTCCAAAGCTGCATGATTCGTTTTGGCAAGCTTTGGGCCAATTGAGTGATCTCAATCACCTAGCTGTCCCAGACAAATGAATATACTCAGTTACTGCCCCATTTGGTAATCGAATGCCAAAGAATTGATCTGAAAACCACTTATGATCCAGTTATTTTCGTCGAGCTGTAGAAATGAAGCGATATTATTGTTTGAAAAAAAATGGCTCTGCAATTATTGACCCAGATCCAGATTTAAAACAATGCCAAGGAGACGCTGGAGGCAAGTCGTCGTCAACCGAACGCAACTGATTATCATGCATGTCAGAGAATCGAAAATCTGAAAGGTGCGATCTTCTGAAAAGCATGGACAAATATTGTCTGCAGGATGTGACTTCTTTTACAGGATTTTCTTAATAGCAGGAAAAAGCCGTAAGACAGTAAACAAAACGAGGACTGTTTTTTCAACTGATGAACCGAACTGTTGACATAAACATACATGCGCCTGAAACATCTAGCATGGATGTATGACGAATGCACGCACTGGACGTTAAAGAAAAAGTTGTTTGTAAAATGTTCTGCTTCCCACGCTTCACGTGCATGGCTGTCATAAAAACGTATCTTCATATTGATCTATGCCGAATCTTCAACCATTTTTTACCATGATCAATTATGTGTTCGAGTAAAGTTTCTGTTTCGCCTCGACCCGGAAGTCAGATTTACTGAAATCATGATACTTTTGTTTCCGATTGATGAAAAAATATAATATTTAAGCAAGTGGGCAGGTCGAGCTTAATGTAAAAAACTTAACCTCATGGGAAACATAAACAGCGATGGAAATAATTATTAATTAAGTATCGATTTCTCGGGAACGGAAAACCGACTGCGATTTGCAGAATCGAACATGAAAGGGTCTTGTTAGACGAGTTCCTGATCCCGACCAAAGAACATATTACAAATCTGGGCTGTGGGCGATAAATGTAAAAAAAACATGCTCTAGCCAACAGCAAACGTTTGCACGGTTAAAGCAGCCATTCGGAAGCGATGTGTAGTAAGAACGAGTCATTACGTTATTACTGTAGATGATGAATGCGAGATGGCACGTGGGCAAGACCAAATCTGTTGACCAGAACTAGTATTGACACACCATCGGACTACTGGCCTTTAATTATAAAAAATAAATGAATTCGCAGGTTTCATTATTTGGCTGATAAAGGCTGGAAACTCCGGTTTAGGACTGATGTCTTCGAAGCAAGAAATTGTCACATGTAAATATTAAAAGTGAAACTTTTCCATCGCTTTTTACGTCAGACACATTTCCCCAAAAATAATCGGCAGCAATACAAGGTTGAAACTACATCACAGCCGACTGGATGACAAAATCGAGTACTAAGTTCTGGTAATAAACGCTACATCGGTAAAAAACGTGATCTTGCCTGTCTGTGGGCCACTGAAATCCTGCACTTACCAAAGGGGACACTGGCAGCACCCGTTGTAAGTGCATAACCAGTTCGGCAAAGAATGTTTGAAAGAAAGGCAGCACTTCGACCGAATCTGGGTCGCCGTCTGCCAGCGGCTAGCCGCAGTGTAGCCGGAAGCAGATCGTTTGCAGGTAATCGCTGCCGTTGGCTCTGTTTCGGAAGGAGTCGGTCCGGTCGTTCGTTAGTGACAAAGTAGTAGCACTGA